GATTCATGTAACATTTACTTCCTGGAATCCATTTGCCTGTAGCTCAGGCATACAGACAGGAGGGTGTACTTAGTTGAGAAAACTCCTTCTCCCATCCAGAAGATGCCTGGGATCTATGGCATCATTTGCCTAAGCAGGAAATCAGGAATTGACTGAAGAAACATAAAAAAAAAAATAGTTTTTAAACAAGTAAATATGATATACTTTCTTATCTATTTACTACAACTAGCAGCATAAGGATTAAAAATAGTAAATGCTGATTGAGAGAGTGAAGTTCTGCTTTAACCATTTGCCGCCTGGCCTATATCCATTTGGCGGCCACAAAAATGCTGCAGCTTTCTGGGGTATACGCCATTTGGCGTCCTAACGCACATGCGCAGTTCGCGCGGTTGCAGAGCCGCGCAGCGGCGCGATCTGTCACCGGCCATGTACCTCGGACACGGCCAATGACAGATCTGAGTACCGGCCCCCGTTGCCTGTACCATGTGACCTGCTGTGACCAATCACAGCAGGTCACATGACAGTTGTATACAATGGATGGCTTCATTCATGCCATCCATTGTATACTACTGCCTAGCTGTGAATGGTCACAGCAGGTCACATGTCATGTGATTAGCTGTGGCCAAATCACAGCTAAGCACAAAAAAAAAAAAAACCTGAATGAATCGATGTCATTCAGGTAAATTGCGTAAAAAAAAAAAAATACTGATCACTTCCCCAAAGTAGTACAATGTTACTATGGTAACATTGTACTACTTTAGTCATAGTAAAATATGAAAAAAAAATCTTAAAAAAAAATTTAAAAAAATGTAATAAAAAATTTAAAATAATAAAAAAATATATATATATATTTTTTTTTCATACTGTCACCAGTCAGTGTCTCTGATCACCGCCATGCCAGTTATATGATGACGCTGTACTGCACTGGTGACAGTATGTAAAAAAAAAATAGTGAAAATACTTTTTTTTAATTTTTTAATTTTCCGAAAAATTATGACAAAAAAAATACAACTTCAAAAACTCGCCATTCCTCTTATGACTGTCTACTCTGCAAAAAGGGGTCATTTGGGGATATCTGTACTATTCTGTCTTTCTTGGACCTCAAGAAATTAGATTGGCTGTCAGTACTTCAGGATTGATCAATATTCAGATCTATACCATAGTTTGTGAACTCTATAACTTTCCTACAAACTAAATAATACATCCTAATTTGGGTTATTTTCACCAAAGACATGAAGCAGAATACATCTCGGCCTAAATTTATGAAGAACAATTATTTATTTGTAAACTATCATAACAGAAACAAAGAATTTTTTCAAAATTTTTGGTTTTTTTTTTGTTAATTTAGCAAAAAATAAAAACCCCAGCAGTGATTAAATACCACCAAAAGAAATCTCTACTTGTGTGAAGAAAACGATAAAATTTTAGTTTGGGTACAATGTTGTATGACCGCGCAATTGTCATTCAAAGTGTGAGAGCGCTGAAACGTGAAAACTGGCCTGGGCAGGAAGGTGTAAAATTGCCCGGTATTGAAATGGGTAAGAATAGACTGGATAAATCTACTGGAAAGCAGTATAGATGGCCTGTCCCGTTTTTTGATTTCATTAGCTTCTGCACGTTTTGTAGAGACAAAAATAATATTAATTATTCAGGAGGTGTGCTGCTAGAGACATCTTTAACTGACTTCTGGTGATTTGACTAGGAGGGGCATAAAAAAAAGACTACGGCTGCTTTCCATCGTAAGATGGGCCACACTTTTTATGCATGTAATTCATACTTAGCTATTTTCATACATTATTCTTCCTCTAATGCCAAAACCGATTGCTCATTCTGAATAACAAATGCCTGGTGAGACCTGATTCATGCACATATATATTTAATCTTTTTTTTTTCCTGTGAACATCCATCATAAGCTGAATCACTTTATGTGCCTTTTATATATTGCTGCAATCTGCTGACAAGCGGCTCAAAGCTAAGCGGGTAAAAAGGAGCAACACAAACAAGTGTTTTTGTAATGAATGTCCCTTCCTGAGAGCTTCTTTTCTTTCTTTTGTGCTTTCTTGGCAGAATTTTATATTCATTTACTTTCAGGCTGCTTAAAGGGTATTTGTAAACCCTAACAATAGTTTTCTCGTATTTGCTCCTTTTTGGTCTGTTGAACATGCAATTGAAAGTCTTTTTATATCATTTTGATGAGCCCCAAAAAACATCAAATTCATTAAATGTGCCAAACTTTTTATTCTAAAGACAAAAGCTTTTTAGGATATATTGTCATCATTAGTAGCATGGATTTATTTATCCTGATGCAGGATATCCATGCTGTATGAGTCTAGCACAGAAGTGCATTCTATCATTTCAGAGGCATTTGGATGGGGTAGATATGCAGAATAGGGTTATTAATTACAGGTACTTATATAGCACCATCAATTTACGCAGCACTTTACATCTATATTGCACATTCACATCAGTCCCTAACCCTCAAGGAGCCTACAATCTAAGGTCCCTAACTTACATTCATACATACTCATACTAGGGCCAATTTAGACAGGAGCCATTTAACCTACCATCATGTCTTTGGAATGTGGGAGGAAACCAGAGTACCCAAAGGAAACCCACGCAGGCACAGGGAGAACATGAAAACTCCATGCAGGTAGTGCCATGGCTGGGATTCAAACTGACGACCCTAGTGCTGCTAGGCAGAAGTGCTAACCACTTAGCCATTGTGCAGAGTGGCACCATTTACTTGAAAGGGTCTTACTTGGTAGGTGCTATGCCTGCCAAAAGCAACAAGGGGGTATAATTCCTCCTGCAAAGCAACACGGTGACATAATTACACCCTTGTCTGCTGCCTCCACAACTAAAGATGGAGTGATGGGGGGGTGGTAAAAACATAACTCAACCATGGGAATGTAAAACGCTTTGTGTGAATGAGCTCTAAGGCTGGCTATACATTGGTCAGTTTTTTTTTATTCAACCAGCGGGTTGAATGAAAAATTTAAACGATTCCCAATCCCACACATTTGATGTGGATGGAGGAATCCTCCCTGCTGCTCCATTGTATTTTGACAGTAGGGAGACTCCCCTGCTGCCAGAATACACAGATCAGAACTGCAGCCTATTGTCTGCTGTGCTGATCGAGTGGCTTTTATCCAACAGGGTGGTTAAACAGACATCTATCATTAGATTGACTTCTGTTCAACCACCGTGGCCAGCCATCGTTCGAAATTCGTCCGGTCCCTGCTGAACCGGACATATTTTGATTCATGTATTGCCAGCCTTAAAGGTTGATTGTTGAGGGAAGGTTAAGTGTTAATGGATTACATTAGGAGATAGGAAAGTTCTAACTTTGGGGGAAGGGGGTGAGCAAATGTTAAGAAACAAACTAGTGTTTAGGGTTGATGAAGGGTCAAGCTATATATAATACATTTTTTCCATTCAACCTCTGGTTTGAATAAAAAAAAAAAAAAAAAATGAGCCAATTCCCCCATCCACGTATTTGATGTGGAATGAGGAATCCTCCTGCTGTGCTATTGTGGGGAGCCTTGCCCACTGTCAGAATACAATGATCAGTGTTGCTGGCTATAACTAGTGGAACTGATATGATGTCCTCCCGGAACGTGCCCCCAGTGGCGCACACCCAGCGCTGTCTGTGATCGCTGTGTCCTTTGGACACAGCTGATCACATGACATGGTAAATGGCCAATCACAGCTGCCTTTTACCACATGATCAGCTGTGTCCAATCACAACTGTTCACCATGTAAATACACTTGCCAGTTATCGGTAGGACCAGGGGCGGACTGACCATTTGGAAACTGGGACACTGCCCAAGAGCCCGGGGTCAGTAGGGGGCCCCATGAGATGCCCCTGGTACCTTTTTCATAGGCTTTTTTGAGTTTGGGCAAGGACACAGGGGCCCCATGATCCCCTATTGCCTGGGGGCCCCATGAGTTGTCAGTCCGCCCCTGGGTAGGACTTTCCTAATGCTGTCACAGTGTGAGGATAGTACTGCTGATAACCGACAACTGTGAAAGACGACATCTGCACTGATAAGCAGGGCAGCCCCAGAAGTGCCCAACATTGCTTCCCAACAGTGTTGCCCATCAGTGTCCAACAGTTCTACCCATCAGCTCCCAACAGTGCTGCACAGCATTGATGCCAATCTGTGCCTGTCAGTGCCGCTTATCAGTGCCGCCAGGCATTGCTGCCAGTCAGTGCTACCTGTTAGTGCCCATCAGTTTCACCTATCAGTACCCATCATTGCCACCTATCAGTGCTGCATCATCAGTGCCTCCTCATCAATGCCCACCAATGCCGCCTCATCTCATCAGTGCCACCTCATCAGTGCCCATCAGTGCTACCTGTCATTGCCCATCAGTGCTGCCTGTCAATGCCCATCAGTGTTGCCTATCAGTGCAGCCTCATCAACGCACATCAGTGAAGGAGAAAAATTACCTGTTTGTATAATTTTATAATAGAAACAAAGAAAATCTTTTTTTTCAAAATGCTCGTTCTTTTTCATTTATAGAGCAAAAATATAAAAAAAAATTATAAAAATGTCATATTGGTACAGTGCTCCATGACCGCGCAATTGTCATTGAAAGTGTGCTCAAAGCTGAAAATTGGCCTGGGCATGAAGGGGGTAAAAGTGCCCATTAGGCAAGTGGTTCAGGACTTGTTTTATATGTTAGTTTTAAAGTGTTTCGATAAGGGACAGTTAAGTATTGGGATGCTTTAGTTTTGGCTTTACACCAGCATTCTCACTCCAAAATCTACCAGCGCTGGACTTTGTGCACCACAAAAAAATGTATTATTATTAGTAGTAGTAGTAGTAGTAGTGGTAGTAGTATGTCAGATGACTTAACATCATGCAGGAGAGTACAGGCATGCACATAGGTGAAGAAGTTAACGTGTTTTTATATTGTTCTGGAAAAGCTGATGTAAATTAACCACACTCTTTACATTGCAAAGTACTTAGTTTTTATGTCTTTTATATTTACAGGGCACAAGATACTATGTTCAGGTATCTGCATATAACATGAAAGGATGGGGAGCGGCACAACCTTCACTTCCAGCTTTTGCTATTCCATCCAGTAAGTTTTGCACATGTGCGATGTCATGTATGGTGATGAATTACTGCAAATAGCCAGACAACAGACTAATGTGTTAGAAAAGTAGACATGCCTATTATCCAGTGGGGAATTTCTGACCTATGCTTTTGTCAATGTAGCACCATTGCAACTTCTAAGAATAACCAACAATAATTACAAGCATGTGATATCTATGAAGTCTATACATAAATATATATGTAGCGATTACCTCTGAAAGGGCCTTGTCTTTTGCCCCAGGTTCTTTTCTCAAGCTAGTGCAGTGGGAGCCAGGCACACAGTGATAACTTGAATAGGCTTCAGGGAGCTGTGGGATAATCCAGTAACACAATGCAATAACAAGAGGACATTCTTCACTTTGTCAAAGATTCTTAGTACAGTCCCTCTAGTAGCAACTAAGGGAATAAGCAGCACTGAGACACCATAAGAACTGTCCCAGTTTAAGCAAGCTCTGGAACCGATGCACAAGGGATAGTAGCAGCACACAGTCACTAACATCCTACACACAGGTCTGTACTCACAATGTCCCAGGATACTTGATGCCTCCTTCCAATATCAGACAGACATTTCTCCCATGAACTCTCCAGACCAGATTCTCTGTGAAATCCCTTAAGTCCCAGCAAGGTTCAACAGAACAGTCCCCCAGCTCTATCATACCTGGGGACCTCAATGGGCACATGTAAAACTACAGCTGGGCTGCCCAGATGGGCAGCAGCCCTTAAGGCTATGAACATCTCCTCCTGGACCTGGTTGCCTCAGGCCCCAGACTATTTATGCACTCCCCAATCACTTACTGGGCATCCTTCCCCAGGGATTGGCTGAGACCACATAAATATTAAGGCTGTGGATTTGCCTCTTCCAACTAACTACATTCTAGAATCTTCTGAAACTCAGGGGGAAGCAGTTGAACCTGCAGCCAGTGAAGCCTAGAAGAGCCCAAAGCAAATCACAAACTGCTCAACTGATTACAGGGGATCCAACAAGAACTAAATTTACCTAGCCTATCTAGGAGGGTGCTAGTGCTACACACACACACACACACATATATATATATACTGTTTATATACACTGCTTCATTACTGTTTATCCAGATTGGCATGAGTATGATGGTCGTGCACCAAGAAGAAGAGGTCAAGCAGAAGCCCTGGATCTTCTGCTTAGCCAGGTGAAGACGGGTCACCAGCACTGTGTGTGTCACGGTTAGTAGTTTATGCTGTCCACAGTTTTGGCAAGTTGTGATCATCACACTGTTATTAATTCTGGTCACCAAAACCGAGTTCAAATAGATCATTGTGCATGGTGGTTTGTGTGTACATTATTATGTTATTCCTATATACAAGTTTATTTATACCCAACACCAAGGACAGTGGTTTGTTGTAAGCCAATATAAACAGCTAAACCTTTAATAGCCTAGCCCATGGTCTCCAAACTGTGGCTTGGGGGCCTTATGCAGCAATTTTCTTGCCTCTCTCCGGCCCTTGGGACAATACTCCTACCACTGACAACATCAATGGGGCACTATTCCTCCTGCTAAGAGCTATGATGCGGCACTATTTCTCCTACTGACACCATCAATGGGGCACTTTTCCTCTTGCTAAGACCAATGATGGGGTACTATTTATCCTACTGACAGAATCGATGGGGCACTATTCCTCCTGCTAAAACCAACAATGGGGTACTATTCCTGATAAAACCAATGATGGGGCAGTGTTTTTACGCCCACTGATGACGGGACATTTTCTACTCCCACTGGCTACAGCCCCCCCCCCCCCGAAGCCTGAAGGACAGTAAACTGGCCCTTTGTTTAAAAGGTTTGGAGACCACTTTCCTAGCGTATCCAAAATAATGAAAGGTGATTTATGATTGGCTGCTATAGGCTTACTGTATACGCACTGTGAAAAAAAGGGGGAGAGAACAATGTTCTTGGACAACTTGCCAGCCAGCTTGCTAACAACCGAATTAACCTGTCTAACAGTATGCGTTTATAACAGGGGTTTAGTTAGCACACATTTGCAAATACATACGTAAGCCACAGAGCCACGACACGGCACCCTGATCATCTGTGGTCCTAACTCTAAAATTTATGAGTCCCCATAGTAGAGGCACATGCATTTAATGGATAGATCACACCTGTGCAATACGTTTTGTGTTATAAAAGCCTCTAGTGCCTTGCTAACAATAATTAATGACATAAAATCCTATGGAAATTATATGCTGCCTTTGCACTTTGTGTGTTGAGATCAAATTGGGTCTCTCTGTTCCAGAACCGTTCAAGAACCAGCCGCAGAGCAGAAAGCATTCTGTTTCCAAGAGCTTGAAGCACCTTTTTCATCCCAGTAGCAAGTTTCTTAAAGGCCTCAAAAGGTAAAAGGAACGGGGTTAGCCCCAAGTATTTGGTTAATGGTAGCTAAATAATTTGCAACCAGTGTATGCCAAACCATAAAGTATATCTAAATCCAACACCTTTTTTAGTTTTTTATAAAGTAATAGAAGGGGTAAAACCCATTCAGGTTTTATCATCTATATTCCACTGGGGAGATTTTCCTTTACGTTTTATCCCTTAGATACAAGAGAGGTAAGGGATATTCTTTAGGCCTGTGTTGGTAAGCTTTGGGCTTGTGTCAAGAGCATTAGTTTGAGACTCCTCTGAGCTCATTCAGAATTCATTGACAGGTACATTTGAGCTGTAACTGACCTCTTTCTAACTTGCCTTTGGCCTGCTTCGAAAAGGTTTTGCACACCCATAGACTTGTATGCATGCAAAACCCATCTGGACGCAAACAAAAGCCCTTCAACACATTCCCCTATACAGCTGTCACTGCAACAAGTGGAAGGTTTCCCCTCCATTCCTGTATTGGTGACAACTCAAAAATGATATTTTTGTCTCATTTACAGCCCTGCTGATAATGACCCCCAGGACAACTAGGGTGAATCGCAACACAACAATTCAATATGACAGGGGTGCTAACCATTTTGTACTCTAGACTTTAAGTTATGGCTTAAGATAAATCTGAAGGGCATGTTTGACATAAGACCAAAAAATCTTGGCCTGGGATGTCTTGATCTTGCTAATATACCATTTGGGAGGTAAAGAAGTGGAATTCAATTCAGAGCTTGCAGGAAATACTTCATTAACTACAAAATAAGAGCAGTAATTAGAGCTGGCAGTTACCACGTGCAACTAATGCGCAAAACATCCAATCAGAAGCAAATTAGAAAATAAAAGTAAAAATTACGCTTCTAAAGACTATTAAATGCAGTAGCACCTTTTTCATCCCCACTAAGTTTTATAGCTGTCCTATGTTAACCTTTGGAGGGAGCGCCTGATAATTTGTGAAAATAATGACAACAGTGAAAAATCTGTATCTTAATGCTTTCAGGGGTCTGTACCTTGCCTCCATATTTTATAAGGATGACAATGTTCTAGTGACTCACGAAGACCAGATACCAGTGGTGGACATAGATGACTCATATTCATGTCTCTTGATGCAAGACTTCTTGTGGTTCACTAAGGTAGGCTCAGCAAGCCCATTTCCAATGGGTCTCCATATTTACCAAAACAAAAAGACTGATGCTTTCTGGTCTTATTTGTATTCCTTATTATTTCCAAGTGCACAGTGACCACTATTCACTATAGCAGGGTTTCTCAACCAGGGTTCCATGGAACCCTAGGGTTCCTCCAGAGGTTGCTAGTGGTTTCTTGCAATTTCTGCCTCTCAGGCAAGTTTCAATTGACACCATTGATCTTTTTTAGCTATCTGTAAAGGGGAAATTCTTCCCAACGACCACAAGAGTAAAGAGCATGTATCCCACTGACCATCACTAATGTATCATGCTTTGCAGATGTAGACTTTTTAGCAGGGATTTCCTGAGACCAGAAAGGTATTTCAAGGCTTCCTCTTTGTTCAAAAGGTTGAGAAAGGTTGCACTATAGTATGTAGGGTTCAGAGAGGATGGGGATACATTTTTATTCCAATCCCACCAAACTATTTACTATGTGGATGTCAGCTGGATGAATAATATCACTGTGCAGAAAATGTGATTGAATTTTCACACTTACCTTTAAAGAAAACCTGTGATTTTCTTTCCATGAAGGGCCAAGCAACAGGTTCACTTTAATGCTGCCTTCACCAGGAACACATACTTACCTCTCATTTGCTCCATGCTGCTCCATTACAGTGACAGGATGAAGAAAAAAGTACTGTGCATGCTCTGAGTTGCTCTAATCTGAACTCAGGGTTGAGAATCTGCCCGCTACCGTGTGATAGTGCTGGGCCAATCACCAAGCACCAGCCCTATGACATAAGCAGAAAGAGAATGAGTCACTATAGGTACTGAGATCTTTAGCAGGTGAATGCAAAGGTAAAGAAAAATAAATATGTGGCTCCTGGGGACATGGGCATTAAGGCTTAAAGGGTTAGTTCATCTTTACAAAAAACTGCCTATGCAGGTGTAATGGCAAATTCTGTGTGCAATAACTAAAAGCAAGTCATATACACGCACACAATCAATAGGTAGTCACACACAGGTACTTTCAATCAGCATTTATACCATTACATATTCTACGCATGTGAAAGACCCTCTACCAAATGAATACCTGCCCTGGCACATCATAGCAAACACTCGGCACTCCAAGAAATAACAGAATCCAACTGCAATATTCTTGCACTGTCAAAACCTCCACTTTTATTATAACAAAACACACAGGAGGATATATTTTATAATTATCACAATCTGCATAATAACACACACCAATAATGATGTGAGCATTACAGCATGAAATAGAAACATCATTTGACAGTGTCACAGCATAGAATTAATACATTACCAAAGCTATGTTAGAAGCTGAAAGGAACAAATCCCATCGGAAGCATACTGCCCAGGGGGTCACGGGGAAGCCGTAAGCATGACTGATTGATGAGCCCATATAGCCTTGGCAAGAATCCTAGTGTCAGAGCGTCCCCTCACACGTGGAATGGCTTCCTAATCGGTCTAACTTGGACTCCCGGCTTTTAAACCATTTTCTGGAAGCTTTCCAATAATGGGCGGGCACCACAACCACCACAAGAGGAGCTATCAGAAAGGTTCTGCGAGGATAACAAAGTATTCCACATCGTTATCTGAAAAGTCACACTTTTGCTTCAGTTCAGCTTCTTATCTACGCTAAACTTCTTTTCATCTACCCCAAACGTCTTCTCAACTACCCTAAACTTAAAGATTTCTAACTTCTCAAGCAAGTAGACGTCTTTAAACAGGTTCTTATCTTCTAATGTGACATTTCTAGATGTCATAAACACGTTCAATTCCATAAACAAGTTTTTATCTTACTCTAAGCAGAATATCTTGTGACTCTGTTCCTTTAGCTTAGAAAAATGACATTAGTCACCATTCATGCTCCTGGCATTTGGGCAACAATGATTTATTGTGAAAAATTTCCCAAGAACACAAAGTGTCCAAGGCCAACACATTTCATAGGCATTACAGAAGGTAAGGAGCGTGTGTAGATAAAAACACTGTGCAGCTCTGACTAGTTGCTATAGATGTAGGCCATTTATGTACCTCCTGCTGCTTGTTTGAAAAACTCCCAGAGATGCCATTCCTCTATCCTACCTTGTTGCTAGGACATTGCTAAAGCACTCTGTTAAGGCGCAGCTGTTAGTGATCACCTCTACAATCACGAGTGAGATCTCAAATGCTGAGCTTAAAGCCATTGCATCAGGGGAGAGAAAGTGCATGTGAAGAGGTTTGAATCAGAGGAAGAGCTCACTCCTGTGATGGTGAAGGTGAACAGTAACAGCTGGGGGTGTCTTAGCAACATCGTAGCAACAAGGCAGGAAGTTACCTACACCTATAGTAAGAGCATTATTCCACTTTTGGTCAAAGCTGCACAATTTTCTTTTATCTACAGGCACACATTACCTGCATAGGTATTTTTTTGATAAAGGTGAACTAACCCTTTAACACTCCTTGGCCAAATCACAGATTTGCTTTGCCTTGGCTTTTAGATGTTTATTTGTGGTTTATTTTAGAGTTTAGGCCTTGGATGAAGAGTTATAATTAATGCTGTTTTTTTTGTTGTCCACCCCCCAGGTATCATGCATGTGGGATGACATCCTATGGTTGCGGCAGTGTGTTACCGTGTCACAGTCCTCTTGTTCATGTATCCTGCAAACTCGCTTTAAGATGCTGCTAGCCGTGTCACAAATGCAGGTATAAACCTTGACCATTTTTTTGTTTCCTACTTCCTATATTACTGCTGCAAGATGCTTGCCCCTTTTTTTTTAAACTGTCAGCCTAAAGCAAATCATGGGCAGCACAGTGGCTAAGTGGTTAGCACTTCTGCCTGGCAGTACTAGGGTCGCCAGTTCAAATCCCAACCACGGCACCACCTGCCTGGAGTTTGCATGTTCTCCCTGTGCCTGCTTGGGTTTCCTCCGGGTACTCCGGTTTCCTCCCACACTCCAAAGACATGCTGGTAGGTTAATTGGCTCCTGTCTAAGTTGGCCCTAGTATGTGTATGTATGAATGTAAGTTAGGGACCCTAGATTGTACACCCCTTGAGGGTTAGGGACTGATGTGAATGTACAATATATTTGTAAAGCGCTGCGTAAACTAATGGCGTTATATAAGTACCTGCAATAAATAAATAATGGGGAAGTGATCTCTTCAGCTACGCTGGGGGCCGGGCTATTATATGTGAAATATCTGAGGAACTTCTTCTATACCATCAATTAACTATTTGATTCTTACCCCCGGTTCACTTCTATGCAGCTGTGCGGGCCGCGTTCTGCTCGGGCACGAGAGCTCATTCATTTGAATGGACTCCCGTGCCCGTGACACGCAGAGAAAGAAGTCCCTGCACTACTTTGGAAAACGCAGCCTACACGGGAACCTCGGTTCCCAGTACTGTTGCGTTTCCCAGTGTGTGTGGTGGTGCGGCTGCACGGATTCGTGCGTATCCGCAGCAGCACCACCCGCACAGATGTGAACCGGGGGTTATTGGGCCGCATAGATGAGGGACACTTGGCGGCAGCACACTAGTATCTATCATACCTGCAGCGCTGATGTCCCCTTACCGGACACTTTGACCGTCGGTATGCACAGTGTATTGAGGAATCAGGATGGCGAATAATTTCCATTCCAGGTGAGCACAGACAAAGCACACATGTGAAGGGAAGAAGGAAAAGCACTGCAGCAAGGAGATTCTTTGAGGTTTGCAAAGTTTTAAGGTGGAGAATTCATCTAATATCTGCAAGAGGATTTCCATTGAGGATTACCTGCCATTCTGATTCCCCACTGCATTGCGCTTACTGATCGGCGTTATAGTCCGGATTGGGCATCTTTTAAAGCGGAGTCACTATCCTATATTAGGGAGAGGATATCTACTGGAAATTATTCGCCATACTGATTCCTCAATACACTGCGCATACCAACTGGTGTTATACGGTCAAAGTGTCCGGTAAGGGGACAATTTTTTCTGGGTTTATGCTGACGGTTTATGAGATCAAGATTTTCTCCTTTATTTTATTTCTGTCTGTTATATCTGTTTGAGGATTTATATGGACTTTAATTTGGACATTATTATTATTTATCAATTATTATTTTTTAATTAGCACTTTATTTCTTCTGTTTACATTTCGCAGTATCGACTTATTTGTCAGCTGCTTCTTGTCTTATTCATTTTTTAAAAAGATTTTTTTCTGGAATATTGCTATTTTCTAGCGCAGGTACTTGTGCTTTTTATTAATCAAAAAGGTATACCTGATTGTGTGATCTAACAATACACATGTGTATAGGAATTAGTTCACAGTAAGGCCAGCCATACATGGGTCGAAAATCGGATCTTAGAATAATCGGCTGATTTTCGCTCTGTTAGTGGGTCAATGGCACCGGCCGATTTACGTGGTTCCTCCCCTTTTCGGTGATCGGCATGTTGGAAAATTCATGAAAAAAACAACCGATTTTCGACTCAATAATGGTCAAATCGTACAATCGTTTTTCCAAGAAGAATATGCGCATGAGCCGTTACCTGGAAGGAACAGAAGTTTTGCACGTTATATGGGGTGAACTTTATGACTTGGTCGGCCGATTTTCGAAATCAATGATGGCACCAATGGATTACCCAGCGAATGACGTTTCTGATTTTCGGACGAAAAATTGTTCGGAATTTGAACAATGTATGGCCTGCATAAGGCCTCATGTACACATGAACTCACCTAGTTGTTAAAACTTTCCTGGCAGCCGAAAATGCTAAACACAGCAAAAACGCGTGGAAATGCGGTACCACGTTTAGCCGCGTTTAGCGCTTGGACGTTTATTCATATGATTGGCACGAGTATTTTCCATTGACCTGGATAAACTCCCAAGCACTAAACTTGGCTAAACGCAGTACCGCATTTACATGCGTTTTTGCTGCGTTTACCGTTTTTTGGCCAAAATGTTCCTCTACTGAACACGATTATTCTCCTTTCAGAAGAGGAACGTCTAACTGTCCCTAAACTCTGCTGCTCCTAAACTCTGGTAAAAGCATATGTGTACATGGACACACAGGCTTTTACTGAGTTGATTTCAGGGGATTTGGCAAAAAAAAAATCGCCAAGAGCTCCTAAACTCACGTTTTAGGAGCAGCAGTGTACATGAGGCCTTAAGCTGGCTGTACTCTAGCAGATTTTGGAATGGATGTTCATGCGAACACTAGTACGAAAATTCTCAGCACATTCGGTGGCTTGGTTATTAATTTAAATGTACTTTGTTTGCTTTTAACATTCTGAATGGACTTTCCTGAACGAAAACCACATACATTGCTAGAAATTTGTTCATTCGAAAAAAATGTTCCTTCTTGCTCCTTTTAACTTGTCTCATCAGTGTGGTCAATTTGATCCCACTAATGATTAAAAGATTGAATGAACGTTCTTCAAAGAAACATTTAGAAAGTCAGGGCCTGGACTGAGCAAAGCTAAAAAGGGAGGGCCAGCGTGATTGGGGCGTGCAGACGAGGCGGAGCGTGTATTTGGGTGGGAGTATATGCAGGAAGTAAGGGGGTGGTTACTCACCTGATTGGAGCACGCAACCTTGAGGGGTGGTCTTGCCAGGATTAGGAGGTGGGATGGGTCTTGTCGGAGGTCAGTCGGAGCTTGTGTCAGGGGGGTTGTGGTTTCTCCCGCCCTCCCTCCCTGGAGTTTTTCGTGTTTTGTTTTGCTGTTTTGGTTTTTTCTTTGTGTTTGCCCTGTTGTTTGTTTTGTGTGGTTTCATTGAATTTGTTTCTTGCTTGGACAGGCATTTGTGTCCCGAGGTGTTTGTCTGTTTTGTCATGGCAGCCGGCAGGGGTCGATGGGTCTTTGAAGGCGGTGTTGGAGTTACAATTTGGTGGATTATGGGTTGGGCCCATCGTAGGTATGGGTGTTCCTTCCCAATTATTAGGTCACGTTGGTAATGTGGGACTTCATTGGCTGTATCTGGGACTACGTAACTGTAGTATTGTCCCTGAGGCGGTGTAGTAGCGGCTGGGGACCTTTTCATTGGGTGTCAGATACAGACAAATTTTGGATGTAACGGTGCCTTCGAAGACCTTCGACCCGGTTGGGATTATTACTGTCAGTTAATATTTGAGTGTACAGTAAGAAGTGTTATGTTAGAGTTATGTTAAATAAATGGCTGCTATGGCCGGTTTTACACTGAAAGAGAGCCGCATGTTTATTTAGGTGGGGAAGGTTGAAGGGTGGTGGTGGTTTTTTATGGATTAGGGGTAAGTATTAGCCTCGATATTCTGAATGTCCATCAGTCATGAAATTCTACGGCTAAGGGCTCATGTACACGGGACATTTGGAAAACTCTTCTGAACGATGGAAACTGACTGCTGGAAAACGTAGGTTAAAAAACGTCAGTCTAGCTGCGTTTGAATAATGCGTTTATGCACGATTATAAGTGTTTGCGTTTAGCGTTTATAAGTGTTTGCGTTTAGAAGCGCTTTTAAAAGATATCCTCAGGAGACCTTCCCAAATGCCCAGAAAAACAGTAAAAAATTAACTATTTCAGACATTTTCAGAGAAATAGAGAGAGCAGAAGCAGAGAGAGCAGTATGTGTTGAGATGACCTGTCTTTTCTGGTTCTATTCACTATGGATCCCATCATGAGCATAATGCGGCACGTTCTACCATTTTTTCCTTCATGCGAAACCTGGAACTGACTGCGCTGGTGTACCGGGTCCATTTGAGTACCTGGAAAACGCTTTGCATGCATTTCTGATGATGAAAAAAAGGCTCTGGACAGCATCTGGACATGGAACAGTTAAAAAACGTTTCTAAATGCAAACGCTTATAAACGCGGTTAACTGCGTTTACAAGCGTTTGGCATTTGAAACGCCAGTAAAATCTACTCCTGAACGCAAGTTTGGTGCGTTAAAAAAATCGTCTGTAAACTCAACTGCCTGTAAATGACTGTGTACATGGACACATAGGAAAACATTAGGGAGAGTTCAGGGGCTGCTGAAAAAAAATGCAAAAAAGCTCCTGAACGTGTGTTTATCAGCTGCAGTGTACATGGAGCCTGAACATGGATTGCTCTTCAGGGCTCATGTACACTGCAGCTGATAAAATCACGTTTAGGAGCCATTCATCATTTTTTTCAGCAGCCCCTGAACTCACGCTAATGTTTTCCTATGTGTCCATGTACACATCATCGTTTACAGTTGTTTACAGTTGTTTTTTTGAACGCAGAAATCTTGCGTTTAGCAGTAGATTTTATCAGTGTTTCAAACGCTTGTAAACGTTGCTAAATGCGGCTAACCGTGTTTATAGGCGTTTGTGTTTGAATTTTTTTTAACTCTTCCATTTCCAGATGCTGTCCAGAGCCTTTTTTCATAATGAAAAATGCATGCAAAGCGTTTTCCCGGTACTCAAATGAACCTGGCACACCATATTTTGAGGTTTTGCATGAAAAAAAATATGTTAGACACTGCTGCAATAATTTCTGCACAGAAATGAGCTGTAACACATCCAAACACCGCAAAGAAAAAAAAAAAAGACAGCTAATCTCAACACATACTGCTCTCTCAGCTTCTGCTCTCTCTATTTCTCTCAAAATGTCTGAAATAGTTAATTTTTTACTGTTTTTCAGTGTATTCTGGCATTTGGGAAGGTCTCCTGTGGTTATGTTAAAAAAACTCTTCTAAACGCAAATGCGCAGAAACGCGGTATGCAAACGCAGCTAAACAGACATTTCTTATCCTACGTTTTCCAGCAGTCAGTTTCCATCGTTCAGAAGTGTCTCGTGTACATGGAGCCTCAGAGACCAAGGCAAGTGTGAAGCGTTTCTCTGCAGTGTGTAATCAGTATTTCCAACAATAACCAGACAGATATGGATGACTGTCATCTGTTTCATTTTCCTTTTTATCAGATCATGACAAAATGACATCTGTTTCTATACTAAAGTGTCATAATCCAATGACAATGAATACATTCAGATACAGAGGCCCTGCAAGCTGCACACTGCTGTGTTTGAAACATATCAAGTGTTTTTAGATTGTAAGCTCCCAGGATCAGGGCCCTCCTAACCCTCTTGTATTGAACTGTATTGTTCTGTATTGTCTCCCGTTATATTGTAAAGCGCTGAGCAAGCTGTTGGCGCTATATAAATCCTGTATAATAATAATAGTGTTCTAGTGACATTGTGTCATTCTCATCCCTCTCCTTCAATCTTCTTTCCTTTTCTAAAGGGTCTACTAGGATTCCAAGACTTGGGGCAGGTTTTCTTCGAGCCCATTAAAGACAAGCAAGGAAATATTCTGATTGTGACTCTGAAGGAGGTGAAACTGAGCCAGACGCTGGAGAACGTACGCTGGATGCCGGTGTTTAAACTGCAGACTCACAGGAAGTCTGTCTCATCACCGGAGGAGCCCAGCGCTTTGGATGTCCTACTGATGACACTGCATGTGAGTTGACCTTCTCGGCTTACAGTAGTTGGAGGAAGGAAGTGAGTGAGGTGTGTGTTATCTCCAGGAATGTGAAAGCTGCCTCTTGTGCTCCCATATGACCTGTCCCTGCATATGTTTCATCTGACTTCTCCCCATCTCATCTGTTCAGATCAGCAGCACCTCCAAAGCTGCCTTCATCTAAGGCGACTTTAATGAAAGAAACAGAATATTACACATGTCATGTACTATCATTGTTAAGGGGCTGTGGATTAAAGAGACCCTGTCACCAACCTAACAAAACTGCAGGTGAAACCGTAGAAAAACCAAACACTTTCAATGCTTACTTTCAGTGTTTTACATTTCAATAAATTCTATTTTTATCAACTGAAAATATGCCTTTTAACTTTTTTGATTTCTTCAGGAAAGTCAGCTTGCTAACACATCCACCTCCTTACTTGTAAGTCTTAGTCCTTTCCTCTTCTGGGAGTGTTTAATTTATCTCTGTGCTGGTCAAAATCCTCTGCCCCTCCCCTCAGCCCTTACATCTCTGTGCTGGTCAAGCTCCTCTGCCCCTCCCCTCAGCTCCTTACATCTCTGTGCTGGTCAAGCTCCTCTGCCCCTCCCCTCATCTCCTTACATGACCTTTTATGTAGCTGCAGGGAGAGGAGTGAAGGGGAATACTATAGAGCAGTGGTCTCCAAACTGCGGCCCAGGGGCCAAATGTGGCCTTTTTCTTGTCTTTATCCGGCCCTGGGGTACTTTTCTATCCACTGACACCATCAGTGGGACATAATTTCTGTCCCTGACACCAACAGTGGGTCAGTATTCCTTCCAATGACACTATTGAAAGGGCACAATTTCTCCCACTGACAGCAATGATGGGGCACTATTCCTCCCACTAACACCAACAATGGGGCACTATTCCTCCCACTGACACCAATGAGGGGTCACTATTCCTCCCACTGACACCAACAATGGGGCTCTATTCCTCCCACTGACACCAACAATGGGGCTCTATTCCTCCCACTGACACCAACAATGGGGCACTATTCTTCCAACTGACACCAGCGATGGGGCACTATTCATCCCACTGACACCAGCGATGGGGCACTATTTCTCCCACTGACACCAGCAATGGGGCACTATTCCTCCCACTGACACCAGTGATGGGGCTCTATTCCTCCCACTGGCACCAACAATGGGGCACTATTCTTCCCACAGACACAAACAATGGGGCACTATTCCCCCCACTGACACCAGCGATGGGGCACTATTCCTCCCACTGAAACCAGCGATGGGACACTATTCCTCCCACTGACACTAACAATAGGGCACTATTGCTCCCACTGACACCAATGATGGGGCACTATTGCTCCCACTGACACCAACGATGGGGCAGAATTCCTTCCATTGACACCAATGATGGGGCACTAGTCCTCCCACTGACAAAGATAGGGCATTGTTTACACCCACTGGATGCCAGGACATTTTCTATTCCCACTGACCCCAGTCCAGCCCCCTAAATTCTCAAGGACAGTAAACTGGCCCTATGTTTAGAAAGTTTGGAGACCCCGGCTATTGAGTGTTACTTGAGTGAGCTGTGAGCCTGCCGGGGCTGCTGCCATCACATTTGGACACTGGGCGTTTTGCTAATTTCTCCTAGATGCCTTTCTTCCTGGCAGCTGTGGTTTGCCAGAAAAAACACTTGACGCTTATAAATGCATTTAGGTGCATCAAGCACTTGGGTATCAAATAATTTCATTGGCCGGAATAATAATTTATTCTGGCCATTGAAATTAATTAATGTTCACATGCTATTAGACACTTTTACAAGCGCCAAACATTTTTTCGGCCAAAATGCTGCTGCTCTTGCATGCGCTGGCTATTGTTTTTTTCTCTGCCTCCAAACTCCTATGTGTGCATGTACACATAGGCTAAGACCCCTTTCACATGGGGCAGACTCCATCAAGCGGATCCACTGTCTGCTGATCCCCGCTGAGAAGGCAGATGACAGGTCCGTGTCTGTCTGTGCAGAGCGGACACGGGCACAGCCCATTGTTCTCTATGGGGCGGTCGGATGTAAATGGACTGACTGTCTGTTTATATCTGACTGTTATCCGATCCACTAGACGGATGGTGAACGTATCCCCATTTGTCTGACTTTTGCGGATTGGATGAAGGCGGGTGTAAACAGACACATGTCCATTTACATCCTATGAACACATAGGCTAAGACCCCTGTCACATGGGGCAGACTCCATCAAGCGGATCCACTGTCTGCTGATCCCCACTGAGAAGGCGGATGACAGGTCCGTGTCTGTTTGTGCAGAGCGGACACGGGCACAGCCCATTGCTCTCTATGGGACGGTCGGACGTAAATGGACTGACGGCCTGTTTATATCCGACTGTCATCCGATCCACTAGTCCAGCCTTTCTCAACCAGGGTGCCCAGACACCCTGGGGTGCCTTGAGGTTTCTTCAGGGGTGCCTTGGCAAAATGTCTAAAAATTGCCCAAAACTTGTATACAAGCCAGCGGGTGGACAGGCCTGCCTTTTCGTTACTAAATCACCTCTAATGTTAGGTGTCCTACAAGTGTGGATGTTGCTGCATTATTATTATTATACAGGATTTATATATATTATTATTATTATACAGGATTTATATATTATTATTTTTATTATACAGGATTTATATATTATTATACAAGATTTATATATTATTATTATTATACAGGATTTATATATTATTATTATACAGGATTTATATATATTATTATTATTATTATTATACAGGATTTATATATTATTATTATTATACAGGATTTATATATTATTATTATTATTATTATACAGGATTTATATATTATTATTATAGAGGATTTATATAGCGCCAACAGTTTGCTCAGCACTTTACAATATAACGGGAGACAATACAGCAACAATACAGTTCAATACAAGAGGGATAGGAGGGCCCTGATCCTTGGAACTTACAATCTAGAAGATTATAAAAACTATTAGAACAGTTTCTCATATTTTAGAATGGGGTGCCTCAAGACTGTCCATAATTTTAAAGGGTGCCTCGGGACTACTACCCATAATTTTTAAAGGGTGCCTTGACTGAATAAAGGTTGGGAAACACTGCACTAGATGGATGGTGAACGTATCCCCATTTGTCTGACTTTGGCGGACCGGATCGGATGAAGGTAAATGTAAACAGACACATGTCCATTTACATCCACTCCCCATAGAGAACAATCGGTAGTCTGATCAAGTCTGCCTGAAAAAACGGACAGGCGGACCTGATTGGTCTGATCATGTGAAAGGGGTCTTACATGCAGGGGTGTTTAGAGGCAATAAAAAAAAAAAACACCAGACTTCCTTACCAGTCACTTTAGAAATGTCCCGTTTGCATGAGGCCTTAAGATGGTGGCACCTAGAAGCTCAAGTCAGGTCTTTTGGATATCGGCTTTTACAGATAAATAACTTGTAAAATATGTTATAGTCACATATAATCTTATGGGAAGAATTTTTATTGAAATGAATGGTGTGGCAACAGGGTCTCTTTATTAAACAAAAGGTAATGCAGAATATTTATAGAACCAACATAGATTAATAAACAGGCAATTTCTGTACAATTTCTCTTTATGTATGGGGTATTTGGTGCCTTTGTGAATGTGAATGATTTAACCTTCCTTTTTTTCTCTCGGGTCCCCCTTTCATTGTCCTTTAATGGGCAGAGGTGCTCCCCTTATATGTCGGGGTAGTATGTCTGCAACATTGCTTTGTCATAGGACAGGGGTCACCAGCTGAAAGTGGATGTGTTTGGCTGCCATGAGCTTCACTTTGAAGTGTAGTCTAGTGTTAGCCATGGAATATACTCAGAATTGTACTTTTTTTGTAAATAAATGTGTAAGAAGGTAATAACTTTAAAGTTGTAATGTAAATAAAAAAGTAAAATTTTGTTATGCCATAGAGAAAATGTACATCACTTAATTGTGTCTAAGCAGTACCCTAAAATGTACCCTTTGTCTGAAATTCCTCCTGAAAAAATAGCAGGGCACCTCCTGGTGTGAGGGTACCAGGCACTCCTATATCATATATATCTGCAGTGTAAGGTTGAAGTATGTATACATGAAACCCTCACCATATAAAACTACCCATTAAGTTATAAATAGAAATGAAAGGCAAAACATTTGTGTATACAGTACATATACAAGAGCCACAAAACTGAACACACTCTGCTCTCATGCCTAGTATGGTCAGTTTTTATTAGGAAAGCAGGGAGACTGACAGGAACAACAGAGATTTCACACAAGTGAGGCAACAGAATACTTTTTCATACAAGTACATGGTACAGCAGGCACATATTAGGAATATGCTGAAATAAGTAATTGCTGCCTCTAACTGCTAGTTTAAGATTGGTGATCCCTGCCGTGCTGCTCACTGTTCTCCTTGCTGGAGGCTCTGACTTGAGGAAACAAAAACCTGCCTCTACCAAGATGGACACCACCATACAGAGACTCCGTACAGAACAAGGCATTGTAAATCAGTAATGGGGAAGATCTGCTGCAGGGAGATCACATGCAATATTAGCGTCTAGTCCTTTGCCTTCTGCCTGCCCCTTTTTGGGTCAAAAGTCTAGAGATCAACTTTTTAAATATCAGCTCTAGGACTGTGAAAATATTACTCCTTTCTTAAAATGTGCAATTCAGCAGCAAATGTACTGTGACAATGGCTGCTGGTAACATATCCATCCGGTGCTAAGAACGTTAATAGGGATATTTACAATAAGACTTCTACAGGTGCTGGTTACCACCCTTTGGGTATGAACAGTTATGGAGCGATTCTTACAAATCAGGAACCCCACTTTTATTTAGCACTTTGTGTGCAGCCTAATTAATAGTACTCGTGATCTTCAGATAAGTTCATGTTGTTATTTTTTAATAAATGCCTTTTAATTCTGATTTATCATTTATAAAACAGACATTTCCATGTAAGACCATTCATACATTTTACACATGAGCTTCACTTGAAGCTGTGTCACCTCAGCTGTAGGATGGTGGATTGGGAAAGAGTACACTTGGGTCTCATTCACGCTTGTGATTGGGGCAGTCTGCGATTATCCATGGGATCCATGCAGTTATGTGTGGATGCCAAGCCCCATTGAAAGCAATAGGAACCTGACAGTGCCAGAAAGTATTTGTGACCATACACATGTAATTGCTTATACAGTGATCATCTTTGGATGTTTGGCCCTGGACACAGAGGGGGGATTTACTAAAACTGGACAGTGCAAAATCTGGTGCAGCTCTGCATAGAAACCAATCATCTTCCTGGTTTTATTGTCAAAGCCTAATTAAACAAGCTGAGTTTAGAAGCTGACTGGCTACCTTGGCTACCTCAATCTGTCTTTAAATGGCCGTGAATATCTGCGGGCATTGTCAGGCCACCATGGTTTTCAATGGGGCTTCCAGCTTGCACGTAATTGCATGGATCCCCACTGAGTCCCCCTTGGGTAATTGCAAACGGTCACATTTGCAAGTATGGACTTGGCCTTAAAGGAATACTTTACTGAGAGAAACATGTGATGGGCCATTGGTCCTTCTGCAAATTCTAGTTCCCTGGCTCTTGCTTTATTATTGCGTCTCCCTTACCTGGAACAAACAGGCCCAGAGGGACATCTGATTTTACCATGTCAGTGACTCAAACCTTAATGAACCTATTTGGTCAGTGCACTAGCCAGACAGCTAGCATCTTCAGAAGATGACAGGCAATGGGTGTCCCCATGTGCCTCTCAGAAAGGTTTGCTTCAAGTCATGTACTGTAGCAGAGGCTGAGAACTGAGTGATTCCTTCTGTTCTATGGTTTCTACACTATACAGGAGTATTTTGTTATGCATTCCAGGAGAAACTGGCTTACCACAGAAGAAGCAGCCAAGCTTTGCCTCCTGGCCTCTATCTGGGATATCTGAAGCTGTGCAGTGCGGTAGACCAGATCCGAGTGTTGGTTCCTGAACGATTACCCAACATCCTCTGTAATGTCAAAATACGAGCCAATTCAAACGTATCCAGGTGAGTTTCCTTCAAACACAGATCTAGCATTATTCAGCAAAGGATCATTGCCTTCATGGAACAAAGGCCTTCCTCTGGAACCTGATCCACATCCCACTGGGCCTGGTTAACCATGTGGCTGAAATAAGAACTACCGGTATTTCTAGTCACCTGGTGCTATCAACCAGATTCTCCCTTTCATTGCTCAGCTGCTGGTTGGAAGCTAATGAATTGCTATGGGGCAGCACAGACAGTGGTTATTGCAGATACTTTGTTAAATACGGCCCAGTGGCGTTTGCATTTGAGTATACTACCTAAAAAAATGTCAAGAATAATGCACTACACTGTCTATTGTCTAACTACATTTTCTTACATCTATGTTATTGCTCGCTGAGCATGTCTGATTATGCAACAAAACATATACCAACCAAAAAAAATACAACAAAATATTGTTTAACAAAATTACACATTTTGCATAGGCCCAAAATCCAGTAATACTTATCACATTGCAAAGGTATAATTAGAACCCTCTGAGCCCCGGTGCAAGAAACCATAATGGGCCACTCTGATCCACCCATGGTTTCAGAACACCAGGACCCAGTTGCAAGTGAAATCTTTGTGACCTCCTGGTAGTTCCTTCACTAGTGTCAGTATTTTTATATTCGTGTTATTTTATTTTTTACTGTTTTTTTACAATTGTATATTGTCTTTTTACAATATTATTTTTTACAATTTTTAGGAGCCCCATTAGGGGGCTTTGTTGAAATATCAGGGATCTAATCAGACCTCTGATGTTTCACCTTTGAGAAAGAGAAAAGAGATTGAGAACACATCCTTCAATCTCTTTCTCTGTACCCTAAGCTGCACAGAATGAATGAGCAAGAATAGCTCTGTACAAAGCTTCCCGTTCATTCATAGATGGAAGCATAGTAAACACAGTTTAGTATGCTTCATTTATGAATGAACAGAGTCAGTGATCAGTATGGATGACTGACTCTATTCATTAAGACAATGAAAGGACCAGTAAATAACATATTTACCAGCCCCTTTCCCACTCTCCACCCTGACAGATCTCCCTCAACAGCCAGTGGGAGAGGAGAGGGGGGAACACAACAGCGCTTCAGTGGATGAAGGGGGGCTGGGGGAGTACACAGACGTCTGGGGCAGCAGGAGGTGGATAGAAGGGGTGGCAGGGTGGCATGTAGAGGAACTGATCCCGTCCATTCACCTCCATATGCCGTCCCTCTTATCTAGGTGTAGAGAGGGCCACACGGGCACCCTGGAGCATGGGGTTGGGTTGCAGTTGCAACTCTTGCAACTCTTGCAATCCATGTATGTACGCCTCTGTGACATTGTTCAAGTTACAGCAACATCCCTAAATTGTTACTACAGACTTTTAATTGGCTGATTTCTAGATAGTAGATTACAGTACAAAGCACTGCTGTCATTTTATCATTAACTTTGTTTAGGCCCCATTGACACCTGAGTGTTTTGAAGCTCAAAACTCTAAAACACATAACATTCAAAATCCCATGTATTTCCATGGCAGCTGTACACATATGAACACTCAGACACCTGTAGCTCAACGCCTGTTGCTCCAGAAATTACATGAGCTACTTTTGAGGCAAAATTGAGCAAATTTGGCCCTATAGACCTGAAATTGCGCAAATCAAGCATTTTGTGTGTTTTGTTTTAGCCTAGAAGAACTTGTCTCTTCCCTCTAGGGCTTTCCTTTGGCTAAAACAAAAACACCTGAAGCTTGAATACACGATTAAAACTCTTTCAATAGTATTCTAAACCACTTGTATGCGCTTGCACAAATGCTAAAAAAAATACATCTGAAAACCTCTCTTCTCAGGTGTGAGCGCAGCCTTAACCACTTCCAGTCTGGACACTTTTACCCCCTTCCTGTCCAGGCCAATTTTCAGCTTTCAGTGCTATCACACTTTGAATGACAATTGCGCAGTCATGCAACACTGTACCCATATGAATTTTTTAGCATTGCTCTGAAACAGATAAAACTTTATTTTGGTGGTATTTATTCACCACTGGGATTTTTTTTTTTTTTTTTTGCTATATAAATGAAAAAATCCCAAAAAAAATTTTCTTATAAAATGTTGCAAATAAATAATATTTCTTCATAAATCTTGGACAAAATGTATTCATTTGTATCTTTTTAGTAAAAAAATAATAACCCAAATTAGTTTATAACCAAAAATTATAATTTTTCTAATTTTTTTTAACATTTTTTATATTATTTATGGTTTATTTTTTTTTGTTTTTTAACATACTGTCACCCTAGCAGTACAGTGACACCATACTACTTGTGGGGGTGATGAATATTTTTTCTTTTTTACATTGATTGCTTATACACCCATAAAGGCTGTAAAGGCAATCCATTTCTCCTTCTCTCTGGCTGTATTCTTGCAGCCATTAAGAAATACTGTGTGAGCTGTGATTGGTCACAGCTTGTCACATGGTACAAAGCTGTTGTGAATAGCCTTGTACCATGTGATCTCTGTGATCATTCACAGATTTCACACATAGTAAGCAATGATGTCAGAAGTGACATCTTGCTTACTACTCTTCATGTGATCACTGATTAGCCAATCAGAGATCACATGATCGGGACCTCACACAGAGGTCCCGTACAACGATAATCTGTGTCCTCCGGACACAGCGGGTTCCAGATCGCGGTGCTGCACAATCCCAGGAAGCGTGAACAAGTAGGGAGCGGGGAGGACGTTTATAAACAGTCACCCGCCCCTGCACTGCTCTCGTTCGGGCCATTTATATACATGGACCGGACGGGAAGTGGTTAAAGTGGTTCTAAAGGCAGATGTTTTTTTTTACCTTAATGCATTCTAAACCTCACACAACGCATCACATGCACAACCCAGGTTCATATTAACCTCCCTGGCGGTATTCCCAAGTGTAGCTCGGGGTAAAGTTTCTGTACCAAAAGCAGTAACCCCGAGCTACACTCGGGCTTACCATACGGCCCTGCATAGGGAGTCCCTGCAGAGCTTACCTTGTCCTGCGCTCCCGCGATGTGTCCCCTGCAGCGTCCCCGGCCATCTCCTCCGGCCGATGCCGGCATCCGGCTTCTGTGTTCCGGTCCCTGTGACGTCGAACATACAGGCGCCGCCGGCGGTGGGAAATTTGAAAATTTTAAAAAATGACATTTTTTTCCAAACAAATTTTACATAGTAAAACATTGCTGTTTCAACCCATTTCACATACATTTTGTCCCGAGTGCTTTGTCCTGTGCCCTGCCTGCATTTTTACTGTTCTTTCTGCCTGGAAACTGAGAAAAGTCCATGGCGTCCAAAAGTGTCCCTTTAGGTCAAAAGCGGGTTTAGACCAGCTAGAGAACAGCGATAGTAAATCAGAAACACTTGCAGAATTGAGTGATAATGATTAGTGGGGGAAATTCGTCATCAGACACTGAAAACGATTTTGCGACTTTGCTCAACAATGTGCGAACTTGGCGCTATATTTCAAATTTCAGTGTTTTTGGTTTGATTATATTATTTAATTAAATGTATTATTATTATTATATTATTATTTTTTTATGATTATTTATTAAATTATAATTTATGATTTCGTGTTTCAAATTTTATCATACCCGGGATGTTTACTAGACTCTTGTTCGGACAGATTTCAGTGAGTTATTCCTAAAAATTACAGCCTACAATAAAAAAAACTACATATTTCCATGCAAAATAATGGTACTGCTTTCAGCACCAAAAATCTGATATAATCAGACCGATAGGGAGGTTAACATAGCGCAACATCTTCTGCACTGCTTGTAATTTAGCGCCGCAGGTACGTACCTTGGTGCCAGAGTATCACAGGGTACATTCGCACTTTGTAAAAACGCCTGCAAGACTCCAGGGAAGTGGGTAAGGTACACATTCTTTAAAGAAATATTTGTGGATCAGAAATATCATGGCAGCTCCGTCTTTTATACAGAGCCCATGCAGTAGAGCCAACAATAAGAGAAGTGTCCTAACATTTCAGTAAGTTTCAAAATATTTAGCTCGAAATTATTGGAGTTCTATTCCTGCTTCCTGTGTGTGGTGTACGTATGTAAACACCGATTCGAAGATTCATTGTAAACTTTAGAGAGCAAGTGGTGAGCCGCAAACAGTTATGGTTACTTTGGGGGATGCTTGTGTCTTCTCTGAAACAGATAAAAGCTTTTCTTTCTGTTACAGTAGAGCCTTGTTAAGTTTAACTTGAGCATGTTCATTTTTCTCCCCAAGTAAACATACTAAGTGGTCTTAACTGTTCTATACATCCATTCTGGTTTCCCAGCTGCTAAAGTGCCAAAGCCCCAGATTCTATTTTATTTAAAGTGATGCAGAAGAAGTAAAGGTCAAGGCTTGATATTAAAAAACATCACTATACTACAAAAAAATATAATTGAAAAAAAAAAACGTTAAAATAGAGGAGAGTAGGGATCAGCAAAAGTGAGAATTTCCATTTCATCAAAATTTCTCTAATGCAGTGGTCTCTAAATTGCATCCCAAGGAATAGATTTGGCCCTTTGCTAGCCTTTGTCCAGCCCTTGGGGCACTATTCCTCCCAATGATATGAGCCAGTATTCCTCCCACTGACACCAACAGTGGGGCATATTCCCTGCCACTGACACTGGTGACAGAGCATTATACCTTAGATTGTACGCTCCTTGAGGGTTAGGGACTGATGTGAATGTACAATATGTATGTAAAGCTCTGCGTAAATTGATGGCGCTATAGAAGTACCTGAAATAGAAATAAATAGATTCCTCACATTAGTATCAATGATGAGGCACTGATCCTCCCACTAGTATCAATGATGGGGCACTATTCATCCACTGACACCAATGATGATGCACTATTCTTCCCACTGACACCAACAATGGGTCACTATTTCTTCCACTGATATCAATGATGGGGTAATACTCCTCCTCCTACTGACCACCAACCCTGAGAACATGTCCATTCTCACCAATGCTGGCCCAGGACATTTTCCAC